TTTTTTTGGTGTAGTAGTAGTAGGAGGGATAATGCTCACATATCCACTGGCCACATGTTAATATGCATACTGTTTATGTGTCATGCACACAACATTGGTGATATGCCCACCGCTTATGTGGCATGCACACATTGGTGATGTTAATATGTTTTAAAAATTACTTCACCAATGAGTGCATGTCATATAAGCGGTGGGTATATTAACATGTACCCACCGTGGGTAGGTAAATATTACTCGTAGTAGTACCTAATTTCACATTTTACCAATATATTACTTATATACGTGAGGGAGATTCTAACGGACCAATTCTATCGTGGTTTGTAACTGTTAAATCAGATATTCACGACGATTACAATTTACATGATGATTAAATGAGACCGTAACATTTTTTTATACTTGATATGTTTGGCACTTAGCAATAGATGTTAGTGGTGTTGGTTGATTCAACTTTCCGATTTACAATTATTTTGGTTAATTAACTAATTAATTGACATTTAAAAATAACTAAAATTAGAATCATTTACTCCAGAAAGTTCATATATTGAACATTTTCAAAAAAAGATCGTTTTTTATTAAAAAATTATTTCACATCACTACTTAATCCCCTATATATAATCTAAGTACAGGCTCACATGCTTCAGAATCCTAGGTGTCAAAATTTCATGTTTCATTATTTGGCTTGGATAGATTTTAATTTAATTCCAATCTAAAAATAATTAAGTATGGATTACCATAAATATGTTGATTTATTTATGATCATTTTAAATGTATAAATTGTATTTTATTTTTACTAGTATGTAACCCGTGCGATGCACGGGCTGTATTTGTTTTGGTAAAATTTATAAATTGAAGGTTATTAATCAATACGTATAATACGTAGAGCATTTCTCACTTGATCTAAAATATTCGTCATAAAAAGTCATATATTATTAAAAACCTCTTTGTACATAACATTATTGGTTTTTAATACAATCAACCCACAGCCTTGCTCCACCAAATTATTATATATAAAAAATCAAAATTAAAAAATAACAAAATTTATAATACTTCAATTTTTTAATACTACCACCACACAATCTTGCTCTACTAAGCTACATTATGAGAACTAATGGATAGCCTTTTCCTTTATAACGACTCTCAAAACTAATAGTATTGTCCCTATAATAGATAAAATAATAATTTCAAATTAATAAATTTTTCTTAAATGTATATAACAATTAAATACCTTTATGCAAATACTTACTCCAAATCGAGAAGAGTAAAGTCAATCATTTGGGTATGTTGTCGTGCAACTTGCTTTAATGGCACTTGTTGAATTTCTACTACCAACCCAATGACATCTATATTCATAAGAAATAAAAAATACTTATTTAATCATTGTTAGATATGATAATAAATATATTCGAAAGTTATTCTTATCGAAAAGTGAAACTCATCGACATTTTCCACATCACAAAATGTTGCAAAATTTCAAAAATGAAAACGGAAAATAGAGAAATAGGTTGGGTTGACTATGATTTTTGTTTTTCTATGCAAAATTATTTTGTATTTGATAATTGCACATCCATATTTACTAAGATTTCTTTCCACTTTGTAGTTGCAAATTGCATTAACATCTTCTTCCTCTAATTCTTTTTGGATTTTCAGGAGTTGCAACATAATTCTATTTGTACTTTCAACATCTTTGATAAGAACGAAAGGTTGGTCCATGTTTTGTTTGGCACTTACTATGGATTTCCAATTTTTTGTATGTTCATAAATGGTGATTAAGCACATTGGTTGGTCCATAATGTGTTCTTATTGGGTTTAAGATATCTGATCAAGCACATTGGTTGGTCCATAATCGTTTTGTTTTTCTGCTAATAGTATGAGAAATTGTTTTTCTAACGATTGACAATTGAATGGCAGAGTGTGTTCGAGATTCTCGTAAATACTAATATATATATATATATATATGTAAATAATTTTTAGTTATTATATGAGATTTCGGAAATATAAGTTCACAACGTGTAGAATATCTCACTACATTACAATATTAATATTTATGGAATCTATATATTTGGGTTCATCAAAAATAAATTTATCTAATATTTTAAACAAAAGCGAATATATGTAACTTCAAAATAATTCTTGTTATTGTACCGAAAATTAAAAATCTTGTTACCATTTTTTTCAGTTTTTTATCTCTGTGATTGATATGGAGACAAAAATAGGAGATTGATTAGGATTTTCATTCCATATCATAAAAGAAAAAAAAATAAAAAAAATAGAGGCATATAATTAAGCAATAATTAATGAGAGTGTGTTAAGTTACTATTTTTAGAGTGTAATTAATGAATTTGGCGGGAAAGTTTTCTAAAAATGAATTAAGTTAATCCTTATTATATATTAATAGATTTTTTATT